TGCAGGTCCTGGCGGCGGGTTATGGCCTACGCGGCAGGGGGGCAGACGTTGCATGGAGCAGATTTGCCGCGATAAGCTCCATGACTGACGCTTCTTTGTTCATCTGTTCTTCGCGGGACAAGTCATCGCAGATCAAGTCTTTCTTGCGTCAACCATCCAGGGCGATGTGTTTACCAGGGGGCTTGTCAGTTAACGGCGGGCAGCGTCCACTGGCCATGACCTGCCGCCTGATACAGGGCGGTGCCGGCAGGGTGCGGCTGGCGTCGTCAGTCATGGACAGGACGCAAAGGACGGAACGGCGTCCACATCGCGCCGGGGGAGGACATGATGCGAGCGGTTGTGCGGCGGGACCGTCGTCTGGAGCTTGATCTCAACTGGCCCGATCCGGAGCCGGGGCCGGGACAGACCTTGGTCAAAACCCTGGCCTGTGGCGTTTGCGGCTCTGACCTGCATGCCCTTGATCATCTGGAGCGCCTGGCCTCCTTCAGTCGCCGCAGCGGCTCCGCGTCCGATCTCGATCCCACCAGGGGCGTGGTGTTTGGCCATGAGTTTTGCGCGGAAGTCATCGCCCATGGGCCGCAGACGACGGGCGCCATACCAGTCGGCGCGCGCGTGGTGTGCATGCCGTTCGCCGCGGGCCCGAGGGGGATGGAGCTGATCGGATTCTCCAACCGTTTCAATGGTGGCTTTGCCGAGCGCATGGTGCTGACCGAGGCGCTGCTGCTGCCCGTGCCGGACCATGTGCCGTCCAACCTCGCCGCCATGACCGAGCCCTTCGCCGTGGGTGAGCACGCTGTCGCCCGGGCCATGGCGCCGGGGGATGCGGTGGTGCTGGTGCTGGGCTGCGGGCCGGTTGGTCTCGCTGTGGTGGCGGCGGCCAGGGCTCGGGGGCTGTCGCCGGTCATCGCCTGCGATTTTTCGCCGGTCCGGCGCGCGGCGGCGGCGCGGTTGGGCGCGGATATCGTCATCAATCCGGCTGAGATCAGTCCCTACAGCCGGTGGAGCGACCATAACGTGCCGGCGACCCTCGCCGAGCGCGGTCTCGCCATGGCCGCCGGCGGCGCCATGCGCCCTGGCGTCATCTTTGAATGCGTTGGCGCGCCGGGCATGCTGCAGGCAGTTATCGAGGGCGCGCCGCCGACAGCGCGGGTGGTGGTGGTCGGGGCCTGCATGGAGGAGGACCATATCGAACCGCTCATGGCCATCAATAAGCAGCTCAGCATGGAGTTTGTCTTCGCCTATACGGCGGATGAATTTGCGCTGACGCTGGAGCGCCTCGCCAGCGGCGCCATTGATGCGGCGGCGGCGCTGAGCATGGAGGTGGCCCTGGCGCAGACACCGGAGGCCTTCCGCCTCGCACAGCAGGCCGGCGAGCATGTCAAGATCATCATCAATCCGCAGCGCTGATCCGCCGCCCGACGGCATGGTCTGGCGGCGCCATGCCATATTCATGGGCCTGCGCGCTGCGCCGCCTGGCGGCTATGGTGCGCCGGTCGCCTCCGGGGGGCGAGGGCGGTGGGCATCCGGTCCGCCGCGCAAGACACACAATAAACGCGGGGCGCATCGGGCGCCGCATTGCCGCCAGGAAGGCTGACGCCATGTTTATCTCACGTCGTTCCATGATTGCCGCCGTTGTGGCTGGTGCGCTTGGCGCCAGCGTCGTCGCCGCGCCTGCCGTCGTTTCAGCGGCGCCAGCTGCGGGCAAGGTCGATGTGCGCGGCATTGGCGCGGTCGACGTCGAGAGCATCGGGGTCCGTATCGTCTCCGTCGACCTGCCGGCCCGCACCATTGTCGTGGAGAAGGCAGGCCATCAGTGGCGCATCACCGTGCCGGAAGACGCCGGCAGCCTCGCCGCGCTGCGCCCGCGCGACTGGCTGACCATCAATCGGGTGGAGAGCGCGCTGGTGTCGGTGGCGCCGCCGAAATCGGGCAAGCCGAATTTCGTTTATGAGACGGAAGCCGACGATGGGCTGTTTGGCGGTCTGCCAGCGCGCTGGATCGTGCGGCGCGTCATCGCTACGGTAAGGTTCGAGAGCTTCAACGCCGCTACCAGCGTGGCGACCTATGTCGGTCCTGAGGGCAAAAAATCGCTGCGGGTGGTTGAGCCGGCGGTGATGGGCGCCTAGCAGAAGCTCAAGAAGGGCGAGCTGGTGTCGCTGACCTTCATCCAGGTCGACGGAATTTGTGTTGACGCCGCGCAGGTTCTGATCGGCCTGACGGCAGCAGTTGGCGCGTCTGGGCGCGGCGCGCTAATTGTCAAAGCGCCCCATTATGACGCGTCACGGCGTAGACGCCAGCCGGCGCCGGTCGCGCCGTGCGGACGATGCGATCGCCCAGATGCCGCCGCGCTCTGTGGATGGCCATGATCCGGTCGTCCTTGCCACAAGCCAATGCCGTCCGGCGGTCGCGCACCCCGATCTCGCGGCGCGCCT